GGGGTTATATCTTCATTTTGATGATTGTAATTGCTTGGTTCACTATTCAAAGTTCAAATGGAGATCGGTTTATCTTTGATTTGTTATATTTTGATTAACCTTTTAATTTTTCTTAAGGGATATTCACCACTTGGCTCGCCTGGCACGGTATGGCTCAAAAGCGATGTCATCAAACATCCTGTTATAGTCACTACTGCAGAAAAATTGGGTAAAACACCTGCACAGGTTGCCATTCGATGGGGTTTACAGATGGGGCATAGTGTACTTCCCAAGAGCACACATGAATCAAGGATCAAGGAGAACTTTGATGTTTTTGATTGGTTTATACCCCATGACTTATTTGCCAAGTTCTCTGAAATTGATCAGGCAAGTTATTGTCATTTGTATTAAACCCTTTGAGATTTAATGGGTATATTTCTTCTAACGGCCAGCTATAAATAATGCAACAATCCATTTTGCAAATACAGCTGAGAAGAATTAGAAATTAGATAAAGAGTTCTCAGAAATTTTATGATTCGTCCCCATCATGTGAAACCCCTACAGTTTGTCCTTAACTATTATGTTTCTTCCTTTACTAACCAATATCATTCAAACATTTATACAGCATCACCAACAATTAAGTTTTTGATGTTAAAATGTTTGCCCAGATGCTTCACGTGTAGACCGTTGTCTACACAACGAACAAAAATTTGAGAACTTAGGCCTTTTCCTCCTTCAGCTCTCATGAAATGCATTTTTCCTATCTTGGCAGGCAAGACTACTTCGAGGTACTTCGTTTGTCCATGAGAAGTTCGGCTCATTCAAAACTGTTGAAGATCTGTGGGATGGTGAGCTTTAAGCTTGCTGTTTAATGTTACATGTATCGGAAGGATTGGAAAATATTTCATATAGTCATCATCTACAATATTATGAACTTGAAATAAATTTGTGCATCTAAGCTGGCTTTACTGCAAGCATTCCTAGTTAAAACAAGGATAAACGTTGATGTTCTGACATCTTATAATTTCTACTTATTATAAAATTCGTCTTGGGAATATAATGTTCGTCAGTAATGCTTCCCTTGAAAGCTTGAAATTTGTCTTGATATTGAAGGAGCTCAAATTATTTTTTGAATTTTCATGCCATAGTTTTGACCGTGTGTGCTAAGATATATCTCACCTTGGAAGTTCAATCTGAATTCATGTCATTTAACTTGATCTATATACTAAGATTACAATCTTGTGTCGTTCAATTCATACATCTGCGAACAGCAAGAATCAAACTCTATTCTCTATACGTGTAGGCGAGAGAATTCTGTGTCTTGTTGTGCCTGGCCCAGGCACAATTACTTAAACTTCATGTACAATCCAAATACATAAAAACTTCAGAAAATTTAGATGATGGTAAAGAAAGATACCTGCACATAAAAGTCATTGTTGGGACGGTGACAATTTAGACACCCACATAGCCACCATCACAACCACAACCACTGCTCGTGTCTTGATGTGGCCGGGTTTTGGCACTAAGACAGCAGCAAACCAGACCTATCAAGAGCATGAAGCCCCATGCTGAGGCCAAAGCTTGTGCCCAACTCAAGTAATATCCCATCTTTTCTCCTCGACTCCTCTCTTTCGCAGTTTAGTACCTTCCGACAGACAGATTAAAACTCATTTTCTTGTAAATTCATTATATTGGTGTAATCAGGCTGTTGGTTGTTTCTATGGAAATTCAAAGAGGGGGTTATGTCGGAGAGATACTGTCTCGCATGTGCTAGCCTTTGAAACAAACAGCCACTGCAATGAAAATCTTTGCCTAAAAAACCATTCAAATTCGAGTTTTTATGATTGCAATTAGAACATATACACTGTTTATATGTATGATTGGGGGAAAAGTAAACACAAAATGCTGGTAAAGTCTTCTTTCGGTAGACTGGAGTTAGCCAGATCAAATTTTCACACGCTGTCGAAGGCTTTTATTAAACTTGCCAAGTGCCTAGTTGCTAGATCTTTTAGAATGTAAGGGTCTGTTTGATACGGAATGCTTTTTTCAAAAATATTGTGAAAAGTGATATATTTGGAGAATATATAATTAAAAATTATGAGTTTGGGTGTAAAATTATTTATTTCATTGAAAAAATGTATAATGGCAAATATATTATAGGACTAAATGATAAAGTATTTATGGCCCTTGGGGGCATAATTTAGTGGTGCAAATGATAGGAGTGAGGTAGTTTCAACCTTGTTGACAGCCACAGTGTGAGAGTTCGATTCTTGATATAAGGAATTGGACTCTTTGTTAGACATCAGTGTACGAGCAAACTCTTGTTTCCTGCTCTGTTGGGGGCACATTCTACGATTTACCTCCCTCATGATGCTCTAGGAATAAGACGGTAGGGACTCTCAAGGTTGGAGTTCAACATTTTTTTTTTTTATAAAGTATTTATGAAAAGCCAAAGGTGCTTTCACCCGATGCAGGCATCAACCAATGATAAATGCACACGTGTCCTACATTATTCTTTTCGCGGAGCTTCCACTTTATTCTGTTCATCATTTCAGTCATATTAGTTGTCTAATATATTTTGCCCCTGTTTTATAAAATAGCTATTGGATCACTCAGGAATGTTTCATTCATCTAAGTGTTAAAATTTTTTTAAAAAATTAAAAATTTCTTTTTAATTAATACAGATTTTGAAGGCATAAGTTCTCTCATTGCTCCATGGTCGCCCCTTCTTTATGAGAAGGAAATAGGTTAGGGTGAGAATGGACGGCAACAGATAGACAGGGAATAAAGTATAAAGTTATACCGCAGAAAAAAAGGAAAAAAGATTGTTTATAACTAGTGGCGGACCTGCTGGGTCACTTGACGCACCAGCTTCAAGTATTTTTTTTCCTTTTTTTTAAGAACCAAAAATTAGAATTGGGCAATAATGATAGTTTGGCTTTTTTTTTTTTTTTAATTATAAGAATAGAGTTCCAACAATGATTGAACAATTAAGAGAGTGAGTTAAAATTATTTTGTAATATTTAATTTGAGAATTCTTTAAAAATTGTTATTCGTCATATATGTGAGGTTATTTGAAATGATTTGGGAATTTTTATTTAATATATATATGAAATTTGTGAATATATGATAGTGATCATATGTATGTGTTTTTTTAGAATATATATATATATTTTTTAACTTTATAATAAATTTGATTGTGCCCCACTAATTTCAAATGTCTGCGTCCGACACTGTCTATAACTGCATTATCATAATGAAACTGGGATTAGCTGGCTCAAGTTTGAGATTGCACAATTTCAAACTGTGCCTTTCCATTTATGCTTTTTGTTGGAGATTGGTTTTATCTTTTCGGTGTCGTAGACTTTTACGTCTCAAACAGCAGGACGTATGAAAAGTTTGGGCTTTCAAGGACTTTGATGCTATAGATTGCTTTTAGAAGGTGGCACCGTCACCAATCCCAAAAGAATAACCTTTGGACTCGTGATTGTGGTTTTGGAAATGATGCTGTGAGGCCAATCGTTTATTTATTTATTTTTATTTGTGTGGATATGCAATTCTAGCATATATAACCTATATTCAAAAGTAGCTATTGGGGAAATGAGGTGACAGTAACTACTTCCATTCTATAAAATTAAAGTTGATAAAAGATATTCATCTTTCTCGATCCAACCATCCTCAACTCCAAACTCATGACCCACCCATAAAACAAATATCCTTTACTTCAACAAGTAAGCCTAAAAATAACTGACATCGTCACCTCGTTTCCTCCAACTCGTGGACTCCATTTTTCCCATTCCCATCAACTATATTTCCTCATAACAAGAACCTTTAAAGAGTAGAATAAATGACTAAAAATAAATAATTTCTCTTCAAAATCAACACTAACTACATGTCCGCAGAATTTTCTCAATATCTTATTTCCAGAGGCACTGTTCATCAGAGATCTTGTGGTGGCGTAGGCTTCCCACCTACCAATGAGTAAGGTTAGGGATTAGACGTTGTGGTTGGGTGGTTGTGGGTCGAGAAAAATGAATATTTTTATTATTTGAAAAAGATTTTTGGATTGAAATTGATAGATATTTTTCCAACACCATTTATTAAGGTTTGAAATTTCTATAGCACATTTTTGAAAGGTTTGAAACGTTGGCGTAAATTTTCCATTTTAATGAATAAATTTTTAAAAGACAATTTTACCCTTTTAAATTGATCAAATTATGGTCAAACACTGACTTTTGATCACCTAACAATTTTTTTTTCCCTAAAAATCATCCAAAGATCCTTTTGTCACATTAGTTTGAAAGGCTTGGGACTAGCATTGCTACAAATCAAAGATTTGGATAAAACATGCATATATTTGAAATGTTTGAAACTATCGCTAGAATTATTCACTTAATAAAAGTACTTCCATGGTGAAAAATTAATACATGAATAAAATTTACTCTTAAATATGATAATCCAAGTGTAGAGTTTGTCATTGCAAATTTGTTAGTTGAATTTCCTCTACAAATATTGTGATTCGACTTGGGTGGTTTGGAGAATGCTTATTTTCTTTGCACCTGGTGCTTGTTTGGATGTTTGATGAGAATACTATAATGTAAATGTCAAAATTAAACTTAAATTTTAACCACAAATTCATAGACTCATAATAATATTCATTCCCCATTCGTTTCTATCCGATTATAATTTCATCTTCTTATGATAAAATTCGAACAAGCACAGGCTAACACATTATACATTTAGGACCATTAGACTAATGGATTGATTATATCCTCTTTTGAGATTTATTTTGCTCCTTTAAATTCAAGAAGCTGCCTTTTTTTTTTCTTTGGTATATGGGGAATTTTCAACACCACAATGTTTTCATTTTGCATTTCTACTATATTAATATATTTGTGCAACTGTTTCTAATCTTAAGGTATGCAAGATCTTAATATTGTGGTGTCGAAACAAGGGTCAAACTAAGTGCAGAGCATATGCTGTACACTTAGCATTTTCCTTGTATCTTTTAATAGGCATATGGGAAGCTTTGTCGTTTGAACCAAAAACTATTATTATTATTATTATTTTTTTTTTTGGGGATGGAAAAGTGACGAAATGTGCTTTTAGATGGAATTTTGGACAGTTAAATGTCAAAATATAAAAATAAATTTAAAAGCGCAGAAACGGTGAGGTTCTGGGACCGTTTGTGCAATTTATCCAATTTAAAACACGCGTCCACTTCACATCGTCACTTCCACCTCCCACTGCAGGTCTGCAGCTCGATCGAAACCCCAAATCAAGCCAGAGCAAAACCTCTTCGTCTTGTACTTCTTATTCTTACTTATTTCAGCTGAAATAATTGGAAATTTCGATGGCTCAATTGACGACGGGTAGCGGTGGCGGGAGGTACTGTACGGTGGGGGATTACATGGTGGGGAAGCAGATAGGAGCAGGGTCGTTCTCTACAGTGTGGCATGCACGACATCGCGTCAATGGCACCGAAGTGGCAATTAAGGAGATCATTACTTCCAGGTTGAATTACAAACTCCGAGAGAGCCTCAAGTCCGAGATTTTCATACTCAAGAAAATCAATCACCCTAACATCATTCGCTTGCACGACATGATCGAGGTCTATTCCATTACCTTTTTCTAATGTTCTGTTCGTTTTATGAGGATTTGGTATTTTAATTTTCTGGGAATGAAATTTGGCAGTTTTATGTCATCGTTGTGAGTATAAGTGTCGATGCCAGTGGTTGTAGTTTTTTTAAGAACAATGTGGTGTAGTTTTTTGGGATATTATGACTACAAAGTAGGAACTGAATAGTTTGCTTCAATATGAATGCGAGAATACGTTATCATTAAATTATTATCATTTCTTTATAGAATTTCCGGTATAATTCTGTTTTCTTATTTGGACTTTTCTTTGAATGAGAGCAGGCAGTTTTAGGGCATGGTTATGACTGTGTATACACTGATGTCAGAGGTTGTAGATTTTTCAAGTACAATGTAGTCTAGTTTGGGGGATATTCTGTTGAATTTGAACTTACAAAGAAAATAGAATTTTAATGATGAAATGGATTTTACACAATTTTGGACACACACCAAAGCCACTAACCACTTGATATATTATTTAACAAAGGAGCACTCAACTTATTTTATCTCTTTCCTTCCTTCTCTCTACACTCTATCACTCTTTCTCTAACACACCAATAATATGCACTGCGCTCTCTTTGTCTTTCTTTCTCTTCTCCACTCTCTATTCACTCTATCTTCCATACACAATACATACAACTAACACCAGGGGTGAATCCAGGATCAACGTCCAGCTAGGGCGGAGGTTGATTGTTGACCGTTGACTGTCGACGATCAACAATCGTAATAGTCCAGTCGTTTATTAAAATTTAAAGACAATCAACAATCGTTGACCGTCAACAATGACAATCAACGATCTTCTCAATTTATTTTTTTCATTTATCCTAATTTCCTATACATAAATTTCTAAATCAATAATCATAACTCATAAAACATAAATTACATATCATAAATCACAATTCGCAGACATAATTTCTTATACATAAATTCTCAAATCAATAATCATATCTCGTTAAAACATAATTTACTAATAATAAATCACAATTCGCAAACATAATTTTGTAAACATAAATTCCCGAAACCTAAATCATTCCTCATTAAAACATAAATTACTTATAATAAATCACAATTCGCAAGCATAATTTCGTAAACAAAAATTCCCAAAACAATAAACATTCTTCATTAACCTTGACGTAAATTACTTATCAGTTATCATAAATCACAATTCACAAACATAACTTCGTAAACATAAATTCCCAAATCAATAATGATAACTCATAAGACAATAAGACATATAGCATAATTACTTATCATAATTCATAAATCACAATTCTCAAACACAAAATACTTGAGTTTCTTGAGGAGCAGAACATTTGTGGGACTACCTCGACCTAAATTATTGACTCCGAGAAATCGTCGAATCATGAAAGTTAAAGGACAGTCAGAAGCTGATAGCGAGCCTGCAAAGTCGTACCCAAAAATTCATACCATTTTCTCAACAGATTGCTTTTCTTACTATGATTGGCAAACTGTGGGGTTTGTCCACAGTTTTCACCTGAGTGGTCCACCTGAAAATATCACGAGGCTTCTTAGTTGTACAGAAGAGGACTTGAACTTGAAGCGGTATAAAGGACTCAATATAGCTCCCACCCATTATGTTCCATCAATGAGTAGGCATCCCCAAATCAATAAATCATAACATAATTAATATTATTTACTCAATACTCAACATCAACAACTACAAGTCAAGTAGGCAGTAGCCAAAACAAAATAGAACAAAACCATAACAAAAAAAAAAAGAAAGAAGAAGAAGAGGGAGAATTGAGAGAGAGTCACCGGCTTGAACAAAGAAGGCAGAAAGGAGAAACCTAGAAACGGCAGTGGCAGCCAGCAGTCACGGTCTCACGGACTCACTCACGGTAATCGGCTCGACACTGCAACGGTTGTTGGGACTTGGCTACGCCGAATCCCTCCTGCTCGTGGCGTCGTAGATGCTGCCTATTCTTTGATGGAGTTTGGCTGGAAGGAGAAAGGGAGGAAAAGGGTTTGACAATTGGTATTTAGGCTTCCACAATTTGGGAATTGGACAGAGGGAGAGAATTTTGGATTCTTGCCAGCACGATTTAAAATGATTGATAAATTGGACCATTTGTTTATTTAATTTGAGAATCGGGCTAAACAAAAAGAAGCCCAACTGCCCACCAATTACTCACAGTCACTTAACTGAAGCCCAAACCAAAAAAAAGGGCTCTTTGCTTTCATCTTCGCCTTCTTCAGTTCTTCTCTCGACTCCGGCCGGCTCTGCAACTTCAGCAAAGGCCTGATTGGCAATTGCTACAAGGCAATTCTCAAGATTCCGAAGAAACCAGCACGCGCAGTCGCGCCCCCTCGCCGGGTGCTGGCTCTGTGCCTGACTAACACACACTTATATATAGGCAGTAAAGTTGGTGGTTGATGCTTCTAGTAGGCGGTGGCTGGCTTCTGGATTCATGGCAGCAAACTTTTGGATATTTCTTTATGTAGCGGTAGTAAATTATTTATTTGGATTATTCTAGCTTCATCCAGCAATTTATTTTCTGTGGAAGTGGGTACCAGAAAATTCTGGTGACTTCTTTAAAAGGCGGTGTCGTATTTTCTTTTCTCCCCTTCAACACCAACTCTTGATTTTGACTCTTTTCTTTTTAGTCACACCCAGCTTTACCTCTACGAATTTTGAGGTGTTCGATCCTTCATTCAACGCATCCGCAACTTCAAATATATGTGGGTCTTTCATAGTTTTTTCTTCATCTATTTTTAGGTTAGTATACTTGGTACTTTATTTCTTGCATCCACCCAACTTCGGTTGTAAATTTGTACGTACCTCAATCTCTTGTTGACTCTGTCGATCCTTCATTAGTGTTTTTTAATTTATGTCATTTTGTCTAAAACTCTATGTTGTTCTTGCAAGCTCTTCTTTATCCTTGACACTTGTAGATCTTTAGATTTCGCTATTATCTTTAGATGCTCTTGTTCATTGATTATCTCCATCACATCTTGTATTTTTTCAAGCTTATGTTTTACTTCTCTGATTTGTTCTAGTACATTCTCCTTTAACTTGTCATCCATTTCCATTGAATCTAGCAACTCCACCCTCTATGGTGTTTGTCAAGAATATGTTTATTAGAACATTTCTTCTGAGTTTTCCTCCCTCAGGGCCCACTCGGAAGACTTTTCATGAAATACATCGCCCTCTTCTAAGTTATCAATCCAATCATCTTTGCAATCCATTTGGTTAGTTAGGACCTATGATGTACTGACACGGACACGTGTGTTAGACACGATATATGTTGGATACTGTTAACACGTTAAAAGTGCAGCCCAAATCGAATAGCCCAAAGAATGAAGCCCAACCGAGCAATTCAGGATAAAGGCCCAAATAGGGTTATTAATGAATGCAGTGGAAGCCCACGAATGCGGTAACACCATCGCCCAAACTTGCAAGACGCCCAAAATCTGAGCGAATGAAGTGCCTTGCAGTCGCCCAGGGTTATGACACTATTCTCGCCGAAACCTTCGAATCGTCCAGGATCTTAGCAAACATAAGATGTTATGGTTATCCAAAAGTACAGTTATCAAAGCAGTTATTAAGTAATCTTATCACGTTCCGCGATTCAAAGATGTTTAGTTGAAGATGGTTGAACGACAAAGAGTAGTGGCAGCAGTTAGAGACGACAGTTCCACGATAAATTGGCCACCATGAAGAAAGTGGACAGTTATAAAGCAATTAAGCGGTTGATCACGAAGAGATCATCAAAGGAATATAAAAGGAAGAAAAGACATAGAGCAAAGGATCCGAATCAAACACTCTCAAATAGAGAATATGTAAGTTCAATTTCTTAGTTTAGACTTAAACATTTCTTTCAGTACTCGTGTGATTGCACTCCTTGGAGGCATTCTATTTAAGTTCCAATTGTAAAGTCGTCGCCAATAAAACACCCCTTTTTGGGACTTTGTCTCAAGAGGTCTGTTCCTTACATAATCGTCTTATCCCTTTTTAATTGTTAGCGACTACCCGCGAGAAACAGATATGTTGACACGCAATTTTTCAAAAAAGTACTGACACGACACGTTAGTTAAATTCTTTAAAATTCTTCATTTATATAGTATAAACTTAGTTTTATGCTTGTTATTATTATTTTTTGTTGAAGTATTTTAAATATGAGTACCTATTTGTTATTTACTAATAACTTGAGTTAAAAATATATGATTTTTAATAAAAAAGAAAAATATTTATGGTAGAGTGCTCGATGAGTATTAGTATTGGCACGTGTCAGACACGAACACGCTACCTTAATTGAAGTGTCCGTACTATGGAGGGCAGGACTACCACCAATGCTGATTCATCCTTTAAGCTTGAATTGAATTTCTTCTCTTTAACATGCTTAAATACCGTCGTAGCTGCCTTGGCACCATATTCTTCAACTATTGTACTTTTTTCTTTATTGGAGGTTGCTACATTGCCTTCTTCTGGCTCCCTTTTAAACCAACAACTCTAGCATAATGGCCTCGTTTTCCACATATAAAACACGAACCATTAGATTGTTGATATCTTTGACCTCTTTTGTCGCGATTTTGTTGAACTCTCCTTGTCTGGTAACTTCCTTCAAACTATCCTTTAGATTTAGATTTATTTAATTCTTTATTATTTAGTTGACGAAATTGACCTCTTCTTTTATTGTTGAATAATGCTTCTTCCTCTTTTTTCATTTATTGAGACCCCTAACATTTGTTTGATCAACGTTTCTTGGTCGGCCAGCAAATTTTGAGATTAACTAATGAAGGTTGCTTTGGCCAATCTTGTATTGCAGGAATGAAATCTCTAAATTGGGTTCCAAATCATGTATGATTATTCTTCTCATTCTAGACTCCGAAATTTTAGTTGAAGCGTCTAACTTAGAAATTGTACGACAGAGAGATTTAATTTTTTTAAAATATTGACTTACCATTCTCTTTGAGTAATAGCTCGTTTTCCAGCAATTACAACCTCGAGTTATTTTTCTTCAAGAATAGTGAGACCAAAGTGTCCCTGCTTCCTTCAGTGTTCTTATCCCTTATGTGGTTCAACAATTCTTCCTCGATTATTGTCTTTAAAACGAAATAGCCTTACTCGCTTTGATTCTTCACTTCTTCAGAGCCATAGCTTCATCTAGTGGCGTCATGTCATTTTCACAGACTACTTTCTATAGATCTTGTCCTTGGAGGTACAACTCCATGCATGTTTGTCATGTTGTGTAGTTCGAATTATTGAGTTTTTTACTTCGCCTACCGCTTGTAATCAAGCAAGCTTCAATAAAAGCTTCACAATCTCCCTTTCTGCACGAACTCCAGAAGCTCAAAAATCGGTCCTCAACCGCTTTGCTTTAATACACAATTGTTGAATTTGAACTCACAGAGAAAATAGAATTTTATTGATGAAATGGATTTTACACTATTTTGGACACACACCAAAGCCACTAACCACTTGAAATATTATTTAACAAAGGAGCACTCAACTTATTTTATCTCTTTCTTTGCTTCTCTCTACAGTCTATCACTCTTTCTCTCACACACTACTAATATGCACTGCTTTCTCTTTTTCTTTCTGTTTTCTCTTCTCCACTCTCAATTCACTCTATCTTCCATACACAGTAGATACAACCCGCACACACACATATATAGGCAGTAAAGTTGGTGGTTGATGCTTCTAGTAATGCGGTGGCTGGCTCCTGGATTCATGGCAACAAACTTCTGGATATTTCTTCATGTGGCGGTAGTAAATTATTCATTTGGATTATTCTAGCTTCTTCCAGCAATTTATTTTCTTTGGAGGTACCAGAAAATTCTGGTGACTTCTCTAAAAGGCGGTGCTGTATTTTCATATTGTGACTTCAAAGAAGAACTTATGTTATGACTCAATTTGAATACCAGGATATGCAATCATAAAATTAGGTATTATCTCTTGGTAGAATTTCTTTCTGCTATACTTTTTTCTTTTGCTGTAAACAAAGACACAAGATTAACTGCATTGCATGGAGGAACTGGAGATAGGGATAGAGAATGAGCTAGACCATTGCCAAACTTAGATAGAAAACTCCCAAAGGCTATAGTGGGAGAATGGAAATGGAAATGAATCAGAACAGAATTATGATGATCAACTTAGAGAAAAGGAAAATGACAAGTGTTCCTTTTGTTGAGATTGACGGTTAAACATTAGAATTTTCAGTTTCTTATGCTTCTGGATGTGCGGGATACCAATTTATTTATTTATTTTTTTTTTAATGACTGGTTGATTTTGAATGTACTTTTGTATATGACAGTGGGTGGTTTGCTGTTATTGCCTTCTGAATAAAATTTTTACACATTACAAGAAATGACTAAGGCACTAATTCCTATTTTGGGCTGCTGTTTCTGGAGAATCATATCTTTCAGGATTCTTTTTCTTTATGATCACTTTGGTTAGATTAGGATATGCCTTCTGGCCTTTTGAGTAGTATACCATTTGCAATGTTATTTTTGTGCACCTTCATGTTCTTGAATCCTATAGGACAGATGCAACACACAACGGTGTAGGCATCTTTGTTGAAAAAATAATCACTTTGCACATTTATTAGGAATGTGGAAAGATGTACATCATTTTGGAGTACTGCAGAGGGGGTGACCTTTCGATGTATATTAACCAACAACATGGCCGAATCCCTGAAGCAATTGCAAAACACTTTATGCGGCAGCTAGGTATTTCTTTTTCTTTTTTCCACTACTTGGATTGTGGTTCACTCTAGAATGCAATTCTCATTGTGTTCGCTTACATGTGCTACATGCTACAGCGGAGGGACTAAAAATTCTTCGTGAAAACAACCTTATACATCGAGATCTAAAGCCCCAGGTATGCATTGAAATCCTTTCTTACACTTTTATGTGTACTTAATCCTGTGATTGTTTTAATAAAAGTAAACCTGGCATTTCAACCCACAGCTTTATATAAATATCTTTAGATTGAGGGATAAAAGATGTCTTTAGAAGAAAGAGCAACAATGTAATAGAAATTCAGGTCCTTCTTTGTATATACTTATTTCTCCAGATCTTCCTTCCAATTGCCATGAAAGTGTATACTTTCTGACATTTAAGTTTTTCCATCCCCCATTTCCTCCTCCCTCATGTCTGTAAATAACTAATGCTAGAAGCATTTCTTTTCTCAAATGTACATTACTAATAAAATAATAGACTATCAATAATATGGTACATCTAGGTTAGGTCCTTCATGTAAGCGATGTTCACGAATAAGTACTTTTCTGGACTGTTTTCTCTCTCAAGTTGACGTTAATATTCTGATGCGTTACATGCGTAGCTAATTTTTTCTGGTAGAGCATCTCTTTTTTCTTCTTTATTCTTCACAAAGGCTTTGCTCTTTAAAAATTAATCTCTTGAAATTGCTTTATTTTACTTGTGAGATGGAGCTGTGGAATAAGTTGGATTTAGCAGTAGAAGAACAATATGATTTGAATGATGATCTAATGTGCTTCTGGTGTACATCCGTGCTTTATTTGTAATTTTATTTCTTATGAACAAAAGCCCAGTGTGTTTTCTTCTCTTAATTTGTTATACTTCTGGAAGTGATGGCATCAAGTTTTCATACAGAATTCAGGATGCAGTAACATTCTTTATAATACCAAATGGGTGTTTTATATTGACATGTTCCATTTATGTGTATTTCACACCTCGAACAGAATCTCCTCCTGTCCACCAACGACGACAACTCTGTTCTCAAGATTGCTGATTTTGGCTTTGCAAGGTAGAGATTTAGTCTTTGACATAATTGTTTAAAGGCTCGTCATCCTTATGCCTGGGCTAATTATGGAGGACACTAGGCACATTAAATTGTACTGTAACGTTCTTTCTATCTCCTGTAGTGCACATATGCATGAGGGAGAGAAAGGGGGGGGGGGGGATGGGGAATTCACACTACCAGTTGCATTGCATTTCAGTGTAATGCTTGTACCACCCTTTTATCTGCCGAGTGATGATGGTTCATTCTTTTTGGGGTACCAATTCGGGGGGCAAGATTTTGAAATTGACTAGTAAAAAAAATCTTTTGAAAATTTTCTACGTAAGAAAAAGTTGTACTAACAAAAAGTCTAAGTGCTAATTAAATTCAAGTAAGAAAAAGTTTTGCTGATTAAATTCTACTTAGTAAAAAAGTCTTATGCTTAATTAAATTCTAGTTAGTAAAAGAGTCATATGCTTAATTAAATTCGTAACAAAAAGTCTTAATTTATTTTTTACAAAGTTTTCCACGTAGAAAGTGGGCAACTTTGGGATTATTACTATTTTTATCGTATAATTTTTATGCCTTTCTGCCTTTTCTTACGATCTTCAGGATCTTTTATCAAGAAATTTCGATACTGAAAGATAGAAAGCTCAGTGATTTGTTTCTTGATTTGTAAAGATGAGTCACCTCTATTTATATCTAGTGTGGATAATGTACGTGGCTTTCTATAACAATTTTTCTACCAATTTTTCAATTTTCTAAACAAATATTAATAAATTCTTTAAAACTTTCTATTGAACAACAAAACAAAGTAGATGATGTATAACTATCTAATGGCATAAAATATTAGAACTAAAAATCAATATGTTTGTAATGGCCTTAGAGTACTTTACCATTTAGTAAATTAATTTCTTCATTTTTTTTAACTCTTAACTTTTTTTCTTAACCTTCTAAAAAAGGCTGAAGACTATAATTAAAAACATTTTCATCATGTTTAAAGAGGTTTAAAACAATTTTCAAAATCAGGATACAAAACAGCCAACTTAACTTACAGTTGTAAGCTAAGCGTGGTGGTCCCTCAGCCCAGAATTTGAAGAAAATTAAGATAATTTAGAATTTTTAGATAATTTATCTTTAGAAACTTTAAAAGCTTATTTCATACCAAGAAATAAAGAGTTAATAATTTTTAATAAGACATCTTCTAAGATGAATAGTATAGACAAATTTGAAAATTAGCTGAAAGAATTCAAATAATAATAAAAGACCCTATAAAACATTGGGATAAAGTAAAATAGAAGCTAAATTAGAAATCGTAAATGAAAATATAAAAATTAGAACAGCAAAAATAAAACATAAAAATCAAGATATAGAAGATTTTTATATACAGATTGAAGAATTATTAGATTTAAAAGTATTAAGACCATCTAGTAGTCAACACAGCGTTTATGGTTAGAAATCATAGTGAAATAAAAAGAAGAAAGCTTAAAGATAAGGTTGTTAGAATAAAGAAAAAAGTTCTCAATAATTTCATAATCGTTTTAAAACCGCACACCTGTACAATATATATTACTTTTTGTTTAATTATAGATCGCACACTTGTAAAGTGATACAATATGAAAATAATAGGCGTGATGTACCAGCATCTATAAATACTTATACTACTCACAAAGAAAAAACACACAGAGAAAACACACAAAGCACACTTTCACACTTGTACTCAAAAGTCTCTCCATAATCTTCTTAAATTCAAAGACATTTTTGTAAATTGAAGGACTTCGGAATTAAAGTTCTTTTCACACTTCCTATTGTTCATAATTTTCGTGTACTTTATTTATTTTTCGAGCAAAGCCTAACAGAGGAAACACTAAGTAAGTAATTAATTTTTTCAGAAAGAATTATCTTTTTATTTTTACTATATTATAACGCTCTTAACCTCTTTATTCTGGATTTCATGATTAAAAAGATAAAGTAATCTTCTGAGTTAAGCTAGTTGCTTTGTATCCCAATTTTGGAAATTTTTTTAAACCTCTTTAAATATGATGAAATTTTTTTTAACTACAGTCTTAATAATATTTTTTAGAAGGTCAAGAAAAAAGTTAAGAAAGAGTTAAAAAAATGAAAAAATTAATTTATTGAACGTTAAAGTGCTCTAAGGCCATTACAAATATATTGATTTTTTGTTCTAATATTTTATGCCATTAGATAATTAGAAGTCATGTATTTTGCTTTGTTGTTTAGTAGAAAGTTATATAAAATTTATTGATATTTGTTTAGAAAATCGAGAAATTGGTAGAATAATTATTATAGAAAGCCACATATTATCCGAACTAATAGAAATAGAAGTGACTTCTCTTTACAGATCAAGAAACAAATCACCGAGTTTTCTATTTTTCAGTATCGAAATTTCTTGATAAAAGATCGTGAAGATTGTAAAAAAAGGCAAAAAGATATAAAAATTATAAGACTAAGTAAAGATAAAAATCGTAACAATCCAAAAGTTGCACACTTTCTACGTAGAAAAGAAAACTTGTAATAAATAAAGACTTTTTGTTACGATTTTAATTAAGCATAAGACTTTTTTACTAACTAGAATTTAATTAGCACTTAGACTTTTTGTTATTACAACTTTTTCTTACGTAGAAAATTTTCAAAAGACTTTTCTTGTCATTTTCAAAATCTTGCCCCGCGAATTGGTATCAGAATTGGTATACACACACACACACACACACACACACGTATATGGATTAAATACAAGTTTGTGATCATGATTTTGAAGGGTCAGTGACATAAGAGCACAAGGATAGTCTTCTCTCAACTGAAAAGAATGGTGCTCTTAGGCTTGGCCTTAGCTGGAATTGTGATCATGAATAATGCATAAATCACGATGGTGGCTGAAGGACAGAGGCTGCTTTATGAACCACTAGAATAATTTAGATAAAACTTTTGTATTTATACAAGGCTTTTTAATATTGCGATAGATATATTCCTTTTGTATTATTTCCAAATTTGGAATTACTTCCATTAAGCATTCATATTGTTTAATTACTCCCACTTTTTCCGTTTGCTAGTTTAACTTGCATTCTGGTGTATTCTCTTCTATCCCTGATTATTTTTATGTACTTAAATAATTAGTGGTTAATTTATACGTATCCATTAATGTACGCACTTACTTTGGTATGAATCAAGATACATTGGCACGATTATTTGCATAAAGATCAAGTTTCCAATTCAGAGGTTCCTTTTCCTTTTGCCAGATCACTACAACCTAGAGGCCTTGCAGAAACCTTATGCGGTTCACCACTATATATGGCTCCTGAGATTATGCAACTGCAAAAGTATGATGCAAAGGTGACATTCATCTTTTAGATATGGGAGCAGCCATCCCTTATCTTATTCCGTATTAATTCTATGCTAAAAATTCAGGCAGATCTCTGGAGTGTTGGCGCCATTCTATTTCAGCTTGTCACAGGTAGAACCCCATATACGGGGAACAATCAGATACAGGTTTGTCTTTTCATGCAACTAAAATAGTTTCTTAATGTTTGGTATCAAATTCTTTTGGTAAAAATTTATTCACAAATCCAATGCTATAATGCGTTTTGCAGCTGCTCCAGAACATTGTAAAATCAACTGAATTGCAATTCCCACCTGATGTGAAGAATTTGAATCCTCACTGCATTGACTTGTGTAGGAAATTGCTACGCCGCAATCCAGGTACTGAACACATCTAACATTTTGATGTACATGATGGACTTTTAAGTTATGATTATATTAATTTAATAAATGATTTTGTGGCATTGCGGATTAAAATGAATATAATTTGCCCGTCAACCAAAAATTAAGTAAAAATTTGATTTTGTTATTGTTTTATTTACTCTAGAGATAACTCCAAAAGTAACGTGGCTGATCATTGTTGTTTTAGATCTTCCAGGAGGTGTAGTAGCAATGCATTGAATGGAGTAATGGAAAAGGAATCACGTATCCGACCCAAAAAGGCTTAGTTTGTTCTTGTTTTTAACTCTAGGGATAACTCAGAAGAACATGATTTATAGCATGGTATAGGAACCTGCAGCCTCAATCCAGTGTTCTTTCATGCCTCGAACTCTTATGTTACTCAAAGGGATAGCAGTAATTTTGAGTATTACATAGTCTACAATTTATTTTAGTAATATATTTGTACTTTTCACGGTTAAATTCAAAAGAAGGTTATTATATTAAAGTGACATTTAAAGACTTTGATTAATTAATGTTTTTAATAAGCAACCAGTGTAATGACCATTTTTGCTGCATGGCTTACATCTAGGATTTTATTGTAACATTTATTAGCACTTTTGGTTCGCAAGTATCAAGATAAAGCAAGCATCCATGAATAATACGAAGGATTTAAATTTAAAAAACTCTCATTTTACTATTTTAAAATTTTATAATTGACTGTTCTAATTACTCTTTGATTCCTTTTGATGCACAGTGGAGCGGTTGACGTTTGAAGAATTTTTCAATCATCCATATCTTTCTATGAGGCGGCCTGATAAATCATTCAGGTAAATGGGGTTGTAAAATTCACATTCCTTTTGTCTCTACACAAGAATTTTTTGTGCTTCTCGTAAAGAGAATTATTTGCTTACGTAGGAATGGGAATTCAAAGAGTAATATATGTTTCCCTTTTCTGAAAGGAACACAGAAGAAAGTTCACAAGAAGATTGCTCTCCCTTCCATATAGATGATTCCAGTGGGCCTGACAAGAATCCATCTTCTGTTGGGAGTTCCACCGTGAGATACACACATGGATTTTCTCTGGACTCAAAACCTGACAGGAGGGAATTGTCTAATTTCTCTAACAAAATGGATCTTTTTTCCAAGTACAGTAATTCCCCCCCATGTAAACCAGAAACTACAGGGACTGGTCTTGGCATCCTCCAACTTTCAGAAGGGAACCTAAAAGAATCTCTGAAAACCAGAGACCTTGGATCAGTAAATTATGACTTAGAAGGTGCTTTTTATTAGTGTTCTATCTCATATTGACTACACATTGCCTAACTTTACTGTTGATTGTGCTTAAATATATTCCTTTCATTGTGTTTGACCTACTTGATAGTTGTGGATTTGATGGAGTCTGATCAAGATTATGTCCTCGTGTACCCCACAATGGATTCATCGTCTGTACATACTTCTAAGACAAGTTGTTTGCCTTCTAAATCTGGTAGTACGACACTTGACTTTGGACATATCTCCACACCAAGTGCTCCATTCTCAATAGTTGGTGCAGCAACTAGTATGGTGGATTACATTGTAAATTTAGACAGTCACATTTCTGCTCTTGGGACGTCACAGGGATCAATCAACATAGTAGACACTTCAGAACTGCCATCAACTGATTGCATGACAAGGATCAAGTCATTGCAGAGTTTTGCATTGGCCATAATTGAATTAGTGACTGAAAAGGTATGTATAGCACTTAGATTTAAAAGCAAATTTGCAGCTGGCTTAATTTTTTTATTTTTCTAAATTTTTTTGATAAGCAAATAGATGGCCATCTCACATGCCATGATTTTGGAGCTAAAAAAATTTATTAAAATTTTTTTGACAAGCAAATAGATGGCCATCTCACATGCCATGATTTTGGAGCTTGAAACTTGGGTTCTCTCTGCGAAGCTTTATGATTAGGCGTAGATGTTCTAATTTATCTATTAAGCATTTGGCCCTTAGAATTTCTTATATTTATATGCCTGTATAAATAGTCTTATCTCGCTTCATTGGTTCTCTTGTAGATACGGCACTGCTTTGAGTTTTGCCATGGCTCTGCTCTCTCTTATTTTTGACATTTTACCAGTATCATGTTAATTGTTATTCCTGGTACCTTTATTTTTCACTTTCTTGATGCTTAATAGGTTCTCTTATATTCGCAAAAGTCAACTTTAATCTGTTTCATATCTAATTGAACACTCACAAACCTATTGACACAATTTTTTTAAAATGTTATTTTTTAAGCAGACCAGATTATTTCATTTACTTATGGCCAAGCACATTGTTATCAGAACTCTGGGTTGCCTTCAACTTGATCCTGAGAACTTTTCTTGGGCCGTGTAACCTTGTTGAATGACCAATTCATTTGAGAGCTTGAGCTTTTATCTTTATTATTTATTTGTTTGTTTGTTTTCCTACAAATTCCATGTTGAGGACTAAAACTCAGTTGATACCTTTAACCATCAATCAAAATGGTATCCAGTGTTAAGTCATTTAATGCATTCAAGATTAACGAAGCTAACAACCTAACCCAAAGAAATCCTTTTTCCGTTTTTTTCTTTCTTTCTTTTTCCTTTTTTTTTTTTCCTTTTTTTTTCCTTTTTTTTTTTTTTTTTTTTTTTTTTTTTTTTTTTTTTTTTTTTTTTTTTTTTTTTTTTTTTTTTTTTTTTTTTTTTTTTTTTGGCTTTTTCGAATCTTTATGATTGCTTGGCTGTATGAACTTTTTTTATTTTTTTATATTATGTTTTTCATCTTGGGCAGATGAGTCTTCTTTTACATTAAGACAATATTTAAATAACTGAAGAATTTATCATAATGTACTTTTATAAGCAATCCTTCAAACTGTAAAAATAAAAAACAGCAGTCTGTATCATTTTAGATTATTAGATTCTGGTATTTCAGCACAAATTCCCTAGAAATGGACCCTTTATGCATTAATGTCATTTTGTGATTTGTGATCTTTGCTAGCCTCTTCAAGGCCTTGCAAAGCTCAGCTAATTTAGCTATTTATATTATTGACATGAAGCATATGATGGTCTAGTTGATGTTGCTATTTTTTGTTAGATTGAAGCAGGAAAACATCTAGATGCATTCTCAATTCAGCTTGTGATTCTTGCCATATGGAAGCAAGCATTGCATATTTGTCAAACTCAAAAAGCATCGGCTATTGAAGGAAGTTCGACTGAGGAGACCACAAAATTGAGGGTAATCTCGAAGCTGCAGCATAGTCCTGTTGTCCAAGAGTCTTGTGACACTACTAGCACTAAGGGGCTGGTGGAGACATTTTCTCAAATCAAGAGAGCGTTTTTAAATGAAGTGGGAAACGCCGAGGAACTTGCTAAAGTAGTGGACACTGGTATGCATTTTAATTTTTTGATTTTTTATTTTCTGCTGGCTTTGAAGCATTTACGCCAGTTTTGTTGTCTGGGATAGGAGATTTTGAGATGCCAGATCCAATGGAGTTGATATACCGATCTGCCCTAGCTTTCGGCAGACATGCAGCTGTAAGTATTTATTTTCCTAGGTGCTAGCAATTGCAGGGAATTGAATTCCATTATAAAATGAGTATATTATTAGATTCATATAAGTGCACTGCTGTAGAATGACAAAAGTAATTTGAGTGATCAGAATTTCGTCTTCCTTTGGCTGCCACTGAACTGGTCGACACACTGCAAAGATTTAGATGTGCATGCTCCAAAATGATGCCCATTTACATGTTCGATTAACTTCTGATAAATTTAGTATATAAGAATGATGAATCTCTTGCACTACAGTAAGGGGAAAAGTAATCCTTAGTGATTAGTGGTTATTGCATTATTTCTATCATACTTCCATCTCTGTTATTGATTAATTTTTACAATTCTACCTTGGAGACTTGCTTCATACCACAATTTAGGACTTTAATTTGATGAGGGTCCTGAAATATTTAAATATGGATTGCTGAAATTTTGATTTGGGGAATACTGAAACCTATATGCAATTTGTAAGATTGTTTAATTGTGTATGGGATTTGCAGGTTGACGAGTATATGGGCAATACAGAAGTTGCCATAACTTTTTATTCAAAAGCAGTTCAGTTATTGACATTTCTTCTGGAGGAAGCACCGTCCCTCATTCTAAATCCCCCGTTTTTTCTCGGTAGCTCAGACAGGCATAGGATTCAGAATTACATTGACGTCCTGAGGCAGCGTATTTCAGAGTCTCAAAGAGTGGCCATCTTCAAGTCTGAGGATCAGCCATCCCCACCATGAAAACCAGTGCAGAGCAACTGGTAATCCCAAACTGGGAAAGACGATCATGCTTCACTCTATAAATATTTTTCTTTATCTCAATTCTTGGTTCTTTAGGTCTCTGGGGGCATAAGATGAATCCCATTGTCCATGGGATGAAAGATTGTTTTGTAAATATACACGTAACACAAATAATCCTGAAGTGTACTCAGTTTTTATAGCAGGTTCTGCTTGTTGAGAAGTTATGTTGCATTTGAATTAAATTGCTAACATATTTAACGGAACTAATTACATCATCACCGATCCAAATGTGTTAACAAATTATGTATAACCAATTTTACTACACTACACACACAAACGTGTCAATTTCCACATGGATCTAAGAGGGACAAGCTGATCAACATTCTGAAATCAGTCTCTTTTAATAGCAAGAAGTTCTGAGATCTAAGCTGTCGTTGGCTCAAGTGGCGATGGAAAGTCTACTCTCCTATGAGTTGTTTCCGGGAGGGTAAGAGGGAGAAACTTTGATACGATGAGTATTTCACTTAATGGTCATGCGATAACTGGTCAACAAGGCTGGCCTTAAGATTTTGGGGTCGTTAGACCAATTTCAGATATGGATCCATATATATATGTAAAAATTCATTTAAAATAAAAAAATAATAATTTTTTGGGGGGTCTTACTGAAGTGAGGCCATAAGCGATTGCCTACACCGCCTACAATCAAGGTTGACACTGCTGGTCAAGCTCAACTGAGGACGATATGCGGATTTGTAGCTCAAAAAGATGCTTTTATTTTATTTATTGTCAAGGAAACACTGATGTTTAGTGCAAAGTTTAGGCTCAAAGAAACGAGTAATAGAGAGAGAAGACCAAGTCGAGAGCTTGATGCAAGAACTCGGCCTTGTTAACATGGCAGACAGTTTCGTTGGGGATGAGGAAAACCGAGGGATTTCCGATGGAGAAAGAGAGTATAAACTGGCGTAGACATGAATCACATGATTCGCGATCTGCAAATTTTACTCCTATATGTAAAAAACTTAAGGACTAGATAGCAATTCAGCTCTTTAAGTTATCACGTTGCTTTCTTCCATGGCTACAGTTAAACAAAGAACCATAAGTCTTGTTAATTAACCAGCCAAGCTATAGGATTTGTGAGGTGGATCACACCATCCACATGCTACAACTTAATTGATTTAGAGAGATTGAAGTGAATTGTGCTAGTTTAGGAGTGATATGGACCATAGATTAAATCCAACCTCGTGGTCAATTCTCCCATGCCAGTGTTGTCACCTTCACTCTTGACCATAGTACAATATTTGAATTTGAATTCAAATGGATTTGGCTCTATAACTACAAGACTTTTTCTCTTCTTGCATTTGGACTTGGCATAACAACAAAGAGAGCGCGGAGAGGTAACTAAGTGGGAGCATTCCATATCTTCGGCGAAATTCTTGGCGGCTTCCGGCGGATCTTTTCACGGTATATCCTTTGCCATTGTGTTGAATAAGCTTTGGGTCAATTGGTTCCACTTTGAGAGTTTTTGTTTCCGCATTGTAGTTGTAATAATTACTTCTGCACTACATTTTTAACTCTACAGGATTCTTCAATACATTTCCAATTTCTTGATTCCTTCTAATTGCTCAGTAGTCCACAATGGTTCACTTAAATCATTAGAAGAAACTATTACAAGATTGGGATATAAAATTCCAGTGCAAATAAATTCCCAGGAGTTCTCCATGGAAGTTATTTCCAGGCTAGAAGAGTTTTACTCGAAGAATCTTTCTCTGGTGAAGAGGATAAAGCACGAAATCTGGTTTCATATTTGATATAGAAAAAAGAAATCGATGTAGCTCAAGAATTCCTTGCTGACAGACAAACAGGAGGTGATGCGTACTATTTGAGATTGTTTGAGATAATGGTGCTTTGTTTAAGATTTTGGAAGATAATCTATAGAACAAAGCAGTTGTTACTTGGCACGAACAATGCAATCCATTATAGGAGCGATGGGCTAGGGAGCATTTATATAAAGTTGAGGAACGATGAATGTGGAGTTACAGAACGTTTATGGCTATTCGCGTTTAGTCTTAGCTTTCTTTTATCTTTGGGAGTTGTAGACCTTCCAATTTACCTTCAAGAACGTCACGTTCTGATTAAAGAACATCCCAGGGAGCCTACAACATTTCCTCGTACCTAATTGCCAGTACCATAATCTTCTTCCCCTTTCTGTCGTAGTGGCCATTCGTTTTTCTGTCCCATTGTATTGGATAGTAGGACTCAATCCCTTAGTTCCTGCTTTCGTATTCTTATTGTTTGGGGTTTGGCTTATTGTACTGAAGGCTGCTCTTCAGTTTTATTTCTCCAGATTTCATCTCAGGGAATTCTCTGATTTGCATAGTTCTTGGTGAATACCTCCTTTTTTTTGGGATACTTCATTCCAGAAGAGTTGATTCCAAAACACTGGTTCTTCATGTTCTGTGTAACGCTTTATAGGTATCCATTCAACTCCCAGTCGGAATGTATGCTCGTGGGATGGGACGTATTTAAGAATCGAGGATTTGACAAGGACATGAGGTGGATAAATGTTGGCCTTTTGCTTGATTTATCGAATTCTTTCTTGGATAATTTATTGCACGGAGGCTGTCAAAAACAACAGTATGAGATTGTAATATTTGAGAAAATGGTTCTTTTGATGTAATGCTGCTGAACTTCAGAGTTGAATGTGAAAACTCTTGTTTTATACAAATTATTGAATGGATGGTCATTACAGATTAGAAAATGATAATAGAATTGTGTTGCCTTGCATTTCTGTGACGGGACACCTAGAATGGTACGGGGTTTCACATTTTCTTTCAACTATATGCTTCTGTTCCCTAAAATTTGTGACATGTCGTCTAATCTGTAAGTCGGGTGCATTATAGTAATTTGCTCTAACTTGAGAGATTTTTTTCTTGGATCTATTGATCAAAGTAGGAAACAATATGGATAATTATATTTATAACACAATTTTTATTTCTTGCACCACATTTTAATTGTATATAAGGTTCTTAATATTTACTCATTATAGTATTTATATCCTTAATAGTTTTTCTTGTTATTCTTATCCTCAAAATTTTCATTAGTTAACACATTTTGTATTTGATAATAATTTTATGTCTAAAAGTCCGTTGAAATGACATAAAACAACTCATTTTTCCATCATATTATTAAAAAAATAAAAAAAAAATAAAAAGTGCACAAATGACCCTATTGTGCTGTGATTGAGTAACAAAGTATATTTTAATTAATTCAGTTTTAAGTAATAATGTCTGTATTAATTACTTGTCTAACGTCTAATGACCCTATTGTGCTGTGATTTATTGCATCGATAATCATAATTCAAGTTAATCATCAGCATACTAATTTCACATTATTAATCTTATTTATCTAACAAATTGTGTGTGTGTGTGTATATATATATATATATATATATATATATATATATATATATTAGTAAGTTTGAAATATTAAAGAGAACATCTTTAGAATCAATTCAGATTGAATTGCATTTATTGGTATGCCCAACTATCCAAATAATTTCATTACACTTGATTTATTTAGATTTTATCGTCAACAAAATTGTATTATGAGTGATGCTACGTGTACAAAGGAGGTTGACAAAATATCAGTTGACAAGATCTATATCACTCATTTCAAAACCAAATTTTGAAATCAAAACAAATTAACGACCTAAATCTTGCTAACATCTATTTTGTCGACAAATTTTGTCTACCTACTTTGTACAAGTAAATTAATTGTTGTCATATTTAAGGTTAGGTGGGGTTGGTCAATATTTTTAAATTTGTTCATAAATTAAGAATATACCATATTAACGTGTTGTATTGAAACCCCTAGTCGAATCCAATAGACCAATAATGTTACGTGCTTTAGATCTAAATGCACCAATCAAACTTGGCAACTTGTTTTGTAAAATAGGAGTTTGGTAGTAAAGGCGGCTATAAAAGGTCCCACATTCTATCATTTTCTTAGATAAATTTCAACATATGATTAAATGACCATAAAGATATCAAATATCTTTTCAATTTCATCCTCCCCTAAGACTAGACTCGAATTTCAATTTCAACTACATTTTATTTAATAAAATAATATTATATGCAAACCAAAAAAATTTCCTTATTTTGTAATCACAAATTATCCATCAATTTATTATCCCAAATACATTCTTAACAATTAAATGAAGCTCACATAGGCTCTATATAAGTTCATAACTTTTTTCTATTTAGTTATGGTCGAAATTCCACTAATGATGACACGATTGAATCAGGAGAAGGAAATGAGATTTTTGATGCATACAAGAGAGCTACTCTACGTCCAAGGCCATATGGGCCTTGGATTTCCACATGGCTGCCTATCGATATCCAGGGCCCATGTATTCCTGGACAAGCAGCTTTATTCTAAATACAATTAAAGAAGAAAGAAATTTTTCTCTTTTATACGATTTATAATTTTTTCTATAACATTTTTTGTTTTATTTGGGCAAATAATGCTTTGTAACATGAAAGTCCACTCCTTGCCGTATGGGATGTAAACCAAGGTACAAAACCATCCGTCTTTCGTTCGGTTCTAGAGGCAAGGGTTTTGGGGGTCCATAATTTAGTTTGGTGTAAGTTGGGATATCTGGATATTAAAAAAAAAAAAACCATCCTTCATTGACCATTCTGCTGACAATTATTTCAAATTTTTAAATGAAGCGCAAAGTTTGAAATATTAAAGGCGAACGTCTTCAGAATTAATTCCGATTGAATTGCATTTATTAGAATGTTCAACTATCCAAATAATATCATTACACTTGATTTATTTAAATTTTATCTTCAATAAAATTATCTTACTTAAGGTGGGGATTGGTCATTATTTTGGAATTTTGTTTATAACTTAAACAATATCAGATATTAATTTATTAAATTGAAACCCCTAGTCGATTCCAATAGACCAATAATGTTATGTGCTTTAAATCCAACTTGACAACTTGTTTTGTAAATATATGAGTTTGGTAGCATAGGCGGCTATAAAAGTTCCCACATTTTATCCTTTTCTTATATATAAACTGCCAAATATTAATTATGCTATTTGATCCTTAATAATTAAATGACTATAAATATCACAAACATCTTTTCAATTTCATCCTTCCCTCAAACGAGACTCGAATATATATACACATACATTAAAAAAGTAAGTAGTATTGGGAAATTAATTAATCTGCCATGTAGGTCGTAATATGTAATAAATTCTGCATAAAGACTATTTTAAAGTTAAGTCTGAAATTAAAATGATCTAATAAAGAATTAAGTAATTGGGTTTAGGGCATCTAAATGAATTGTGGTCCGGGTTATATGTATAGATACCAGATTTTTTTAGGATTGTATTTCGGGCAAAATATATATTAAAACTATATATAGGGTTATTATCCTAATTCATATGCAATTTCTCATTCTTTATGACATCTCATCGACACAAGAATCTAAAGAAAAAGTATATTGAAGAGGAAAATTCAAAATCCGCAAATGGATTTCAAGAATCAAGAAGAAGAATTCAAGAATCCATAATCAAGATTAAAGATTCGGAAGACAAGATTCAAAAATTATACTTCAAAATTCAATGTTCAAGGTACAAATCAATTAATCAAAGGTATATTACGCATTAATTATTTATCTTAGTGATTCGATATGGAGATATTGGCAATTATGTAAAGTTTATAAAATTTAAATTTCATAATTGTTTAACAAGTAGCTCGAGTAGAAAGATGATATGAGAAAAGTTTGTAACTTTTTTTCTATTTAGTTATGGTTGAAATTCCACAAAAGATGACACGGTTGAATCGGGAGAAGGAAATGGGATTTTTGATGCATTAGATTGTTTTAAATATAATTAAAGAAGAAAAAACTTAATTTTTTCTCTGTTATATGATTTATAATTTTTTCTATACTAATTTTTTTTTCTCCAAATAATTCTTTATAATATGAAAGTGTGGACTTTGACCATTTGGCATATGGGACGTAAATCAACGTGCAAAACCATCAGTTTTTGACCATTTTGCTGACAATTATATCAAGAAGCGTGCATTGATTCTATGAGTTGAACTCGATCAAAATATCAAAAATTTTATGCGAATTTTGTGCATTTCATCCCTAACCTTTGGAGACTCTTTCTAATCCATCCCAAGTTAATCGATCTTTATACTTTTAACGATTTCCAATTTAGATGTTAAATCACCACGTGAATTATCCGCACATGACATAATTTCCCAAGAGCAAATTAGTCATATCATTTCCACACAATTGGAGAATGAATTTGTATACCTAACCTAACTCATCCGTAATATTTAAATAAATTAGCATAATGGTCCGATCCTTTTAACCTGATGGAACACTATTGATCTTCCAACCTTTGAAACTAAACGTACTATAATACATACTCGTTAGGATTTTGGTTTTTCGTATATTAATATTTCTTATACCTCTAGAAGTAAAATTTCACACTGTAAATTTAACCTATTCGAGATTAAATTGATACAACAAAAATACCAAACAAATCACAATTCACACAATATACCGTACAACAAATCGACAACTAGCGATTTTAATTCAAAAGCACGAAGAAAGCGGTGCAAAACGGTTTTGTGATTTCTTATTATATAAAATAAAACTGTCCTTTGTTTCTAAAAACCACTGAAAATGGGAGAAAATTTCCCATCTAGTGACTATTTTGCCCATGGAAAATTATGTCATGTGCGATCCACGTGGAGGTTTAGCAACTCAATTGACAGAACTTGTTTGAAAGAATGAATTGCGCAACGGTCCCTAAAGGTTTGGTAAGAGTCTCCAAGGGATGAAAATTTTCCATTTCTAATCTATTGATAATTAATGCACTTTTAAAATACCATGTTGGGATATTTCTCGTTTAAATTATTAATATAGAGTTTAATTATATTTCTTTTGGGACAAAGGCATTATTTTCTTGGTTTACTTTGACCATTTTGTGATGTATGTCATCATTGTCTCTATCAAGTTAGTTTGTCAAAGTTAATTGTCGGTGGGGCAATTTTGTGCTTCCAGCCATTGGATCAACTTGGATGATCAAGACTATGCGGCTTCTCATTTTTAGGGTTCAGAATAACGTGTAGCTTAAACCTCTTATGGTTTAGATAAAAATCAGAAATTAAGGGAGTGTTTGAGAGCCATTTTTATGTAAAAATATATTTTAAAATAATAAATTGATGGGAAATGTGTGTTTGAAAAACAAGGAAATTTTTTTGATTTACGTGTAATATTATTTTAATAAAGAATATGTGGTTGAAAAGAAGAAAAAGAGAAATGCATTTAGAAAGAAATTGGTACCAAACGGGACCTAAGTAAATTTTAATAAAAATTAATGAAATGCATTATTGAAAAAGTGTGAATTCTATAAAATGTGTGATAAAATTAATTGTTATTTTTAATTTAAATTTTAATTTATTTTTGTAGTTGAATCAATCAAAGGCAAATCTCCTTTTTGTGAAACGTTCCGCTATCTTGTTCTACACCTTTTTCTTCGTGATTTCTCATAAGTGAACCATGGTTCCACACCATTTTAGAATAGAGCAAATTGGTTCTCTGCTTCTTTGTATAGACGCACAATTATTACACAATCACAAAAGTATCGAGATCTAAATTAACTTGTCATGTTACTCACATAAAAGCATGTCCAATTTCAATTTTTTGGACCTCAATTCAAATTAAAAATAAATGCTGGATATAGAAGAATCACGTAGTAATAATTTAGACGGGTTAATATCATCATGAATTGTTGTGCAATTATAAATATATATTAAAGACAAACTTGCTACTTAAATTAAGTATAAAGCCATTCGTACAGAAAAATGATTCATAGAATTCCGTCAAACACGCACAATATGTGGGCCCCAGGTTGTGATAGTAAAATTCCAAAAAAATCCCCCACCTCCTATTGTCTGTTATTTTGGACATTTCTATGAACCACAATTCTGTTCACACAGCATTTCCCATTAAATTAAGAACCGAGCTGGGGGTATAGAACTGCTAGTTCACGGACCTCTTACGGAGGTTTCACATATGGTGAGGTCGAAATTTTTTTTGTCATTTTTATTGCATCGGGCCCCGCAATGAGATCCACCTTCTGTGAGGCTTCTAATTTTCTTATGTACTTGTTAAATTAAAGGCTCCTGATGATCACATCACAAATCAAAGTCAACTTTTTATTGCCGGAACAAATTTTTTATTATATATAATGTCATTTGCTATATTTTATTATACATAGTGGCTATTGTGAATGCGCATTGTCCAATTATTTGGCCTTAGCAAAAAGTCATCTGAAATGTGATCGCACAATTTTGCTCAGCACTACGTTTTAGAATGGCCGCTGCTATATCCTCAAGTTGATTTCAAATAATTCTTTTATTAAGTATCTATTGGGTGGGAATAAAAATTGATAAAAGTGACTATTAAAAAGTTGTGAATTTTATAAAATATTTGATTACAATTAATTGTTGACAATATGGACTGAAAGTAATTTTCACATATTATTCCCTTTGCAATGAGAATCTTTCTGAAGAAATCATTTGATCTGATATCAATTGCTACCATTGCATTGAATATGACCATGTTGTCCGAACTCAGATGCACCAACACTTAATTTTTCGAAAGTAGGAGACGGACAAATCGAATATACATTAACTTTAATTTTTAAAAATTTTAAGTTTATTATATGTTTTATCTTTAATTTTATACTTTTTATTACAGGACAAATCACATGTCACATAGATCACTCGTTCGAAGAATTTCTCGAAAGATAGAAGTTCAAAATAACATAAAAATAAATAAATAAACAAGAGAGTTGACTTTTTCATACCTATACACGAGGTACGTGTGTGACGTGGAATTTGTCGTTTAAATGGACTTGAATATTCAAAATAATTGCATTTCCGCAAAAGAATTCTAACGTAGTGGAGCAAGACACGGAAGTAATTATAATCAATTTCCACAGAATTTAATATTGAATCGAGTTCCATATGGATATATAATGATCAACATGCAAGGCTTTGAACTTGGGCAATATTAAAACCAAAACAGTTTTCTTTCCAAGATGAGAATCCAAAATCTTCAATCTTTTTACCTCCTCTTTTTACTTGTATTCTTCTTCTCCTTCAATTCTGCAACTTCAGAATCTCATCTTCAGTTGAGAAGAGGTGATTCTTTATCTGTTGAGGGCGATCAAGATTTCCTCACCTCCCCAGATAACTCATTTACTTGTGGGTTTCTTAACTTGGAAAATTCTAATGCCTACTGGTTTGCAATTTGGTTCACAAATTCTAAAGAAAAAACCGTCGTCTGGACCGCAAATCGGGACAGGCCGGTTAACGGCCACGGCTCGAAAGTACACTTCAGGGGAGACGGAACCGTGATCTTAACAGACGTTGATGACACCGTTGTATGGCAGACAAATACCACCACAACTGATGTTGCAATAGCTAAGGTTCTGAATTCAGGCAACCTCGTATTGGAGAATCCACAAGGTGATATTCTCTGGCAAAGTTTTGATTTTCCTACAGATACCCTTTTACCTTTACAAACACTTACTAAGAATAAAAGATTGACTTCTGCATTGAGAAAAGGGAGTTATGGATCAGGTTACTTTAATTTGAATTTTGGAAGTGATAATGTTTTGAGATTGATATCGGATACACCCGATACATCAAGCAATTATTGGCCTAATCCTGATTTTGATGTTTATAGAAATGGAAGAACAAATTATAATAGTAGTAGAGTGGCATTTTTGGATGATATGGGCAGGTTTCTGTCAAGCGATCAATTGCAAATCAATGCTTCGGATATGGGATATGGAATTAAAAGACGGATGACAATAGATTATGATGGGAATCTTAGGATTTATAGCTTGATCAACTCGACGGGTTTGTGGGAAATAACGTGGCAAGCTCTTGGACAACCTTGTAGCGTACGAGGTGTGTGTGGAAGAAACGCGGTATGTGTTTATGCGCCGGATCCTCGGTGTGCTTGTCCTCCTGGGTTCGAGGTGAATGATCCGAGTGACTGGAATGCTGGTTGCAAGGCAACGTTCAACGAGACTCTTTTACGTTCTCGACAAGTGAAATTCGTGGAGATACCTCATGTGGATTTCTATGGTTTTGATCTCAATGCGACTTCTCCATTGACATTGGAATCTTGCAGGGAGATGTGTGCGAGTGATTTTCGTTGCCTTGCGTTTAGCTACCGGATTTTGGGACAAGGAGTCTGCTTTGTAAAAAGTGCACTCCTTAATGGCTATGAAACTCCAGATTTCCCTGCAAGAATATACATTAAAGTTCCAAACAGTTTGCAACCACCGAATCCTTCAATTCTGTATGAATCCAGAAGAATGTGTGGATCTGCAGAAGCAGAACAAATCATAGGATCTCCTTCTATGTATGACTTCGTCCCGAAAAGAGTGAAATGGATTTATATC